GTGATAGAGGTGCAGTGTTCTCTCAATAACATAGGAAAGTGTGAACTTCTCCATAAGCTGTAAAATGCTAATCGAAAACCGTGAAGAGAAGAAGTGAAAGCCAATGAGAACATTGTACATATTTGTTGGACAAGAACATGGTTGGTTGGTCGAGAGAATGAAGACTCAACAACCAATTGAAGCCCTTATGAACAAGTAGAGAGTTCTTGATACGAAAAAAAAAAACAAAGCTACCTGAGGATTAAATGAATAATTACAAGAACTTTTGGTGCAATGTAAGGATATCATGGTCTAGGAAGAATAATGGATATGAAAGAGCATGAAGAGAAACTCAATATGCAATATTTCATACTTGATAGTGTTAACATGCAACACATGCGTGCATCGACTAGTATATATAAAGTACAATACAATTTAAATCTTAAAAAATAAATAAAATATTTTTTACTTTTTACGGTTGAAATCTCTGTAAATTTTATTTTAAAGTTAACTCAATAGTTAATATTAATACCTCAAATTTAATAGAGAAAATAAACTCTTAAGGATGTGTTTGGGGTAACATTTTTAAAGTGTTTCTAGAACTTATACTTCTAATAAATACTTTAAAAAAAATAGTGTTTGAAACCGCCCTAACACCATTCCTACCACCACCACCACTACCATCACCATTACCACAATAACCACCACCTCATCACCATCACCACTACCACCACCACTATCACCACCACCGTCGCTGCCACCCCACCACCACCTCTGCACAGCAAACACCACCCCCATTGCCCCACCCCCACCATCCCCACTACCACCACCATCACCATGACCACCCCACCACGACCACCACTATCGCCAAACTACTATTACCGTCACTGTCCAATCATTATCCTTACCACCACCACCACCACCATCATTGCCACCCACCACCGTCATCCACTGCCCCCACCTATTTCTATCGTCATCTCATTATTATATTTATTACTACTATTACCATGATCCCATTACAACCATCATCAACTGTCAGAACCCATCACCACCCACCACAACCATCACCATTTTTCACCACCACCACCACCACCACCACTGTCACCAATCACCATTATCACCGCTCACCTCTATTACAATCGGTGCTTAAATTATTTTCTCTTCTCTATGTTTATGATTTGATTTTGAGTGTGAATATAAATATATTTATTGTTGACCATTTTTTTATTACGCTAAAATTTCAACTGAGATATTTGTGTATTTTCTAATTTCCATAACTTGAAGTTGAGACCCATAAATTCACATCATACAATTCGTTTACGGTCTTTTTTGGGTCTAGATACTCACAGTCTATAAGTATTCAAATTAATGGACTATTTGATGAGAAATCCTAGCGTAGCAGAATTGTACTAAAAACTTATCTTGCTCTTTGTTTCTGGGGGATTGAGTTCTATTGGATGAGAAGCCTCTGCTTCTATATAATTTTGAGAGACTTGACACCCCTTTGCTTCTACAACAATGATGGATAATTGTGCGTGCACGTTCTTGCACAATATAAACACAAAAACAGATATCTTTCGTGGTGAATACGAGTTCGTCGATCGAGTGGTCAATCTTGCTATTTGGAATAGGTTGTGAGGGCCGAAGGTGGCCTAAGAAGTGGTGATGAATTGTTTTTATGGGTCACCTGATTGGTCCTAGAAGGCTAAGAGAGATTCCTGGAATAGAGAAAAACAGGATAGAAGAACGCCGGAGTGTTTTTCGGCGTATCCCCTCCGACGATCAAGTCAGTTCTTTGAGAGAGGAGAAGAAGAAAACATTATATGATCCTTGAGAAAGGGTTTTTGTGTACCTTTTTAATGTATTTGTGAAGACTATTTATACCTTACAAAACTCATCATTACTGACAGCGTAGCTAGTAGGTAATCATTAGAGGTGGACAGTGTGCACACTAATTTCTATGAGAAATGTCCTCATTCTTAACTGTTCGGGACCCTGAATAACTAATATTTTCTCTTCGGTTTGCTGAGTTTTAATGACCTTCTCTCGGCAACGATGTATTAAATGTCTAGGCATAGGAACATTTATTACCTTTTACTTTCAAACTCTTATACATTAAATGTTGTCTCATCAAGGGAAGGATGTATTAAATGCCTGCCCTCCCAAGCCGTGTGTCAACAAGGGTATTCTGGTCTTTTCATCTCTAACCTGACACAATGTGTCATGTACCTATTTCCCTTTGATTGAGCCTTCTGCTTTCTTGTGCCTCCTGACACCATTTGAGTAGGACGATGCTATGATGACTAGTCTAGCTTAACGTAGGCTAGGAATCTGTCAATCAATAGCTCCTGCAGGAGTAGAAACGCCCACGTGGACAGATACACCTCGGTGCCGATGAATTAGCATGATTAGGGACCGATATACTCAAACTGACCGAGGAATACGTGTCAGTCCATGGCGTTTTGGGGGTCCTTGATCCCTATGAATAGTACCCTCGGGGAAGAGGGTTATATACCAACGAGGACGTGTCGGAATTATAACAGAGAGTTTTCATTGACGTCAAATACACGTGTCGTCATTTTGGTGTGTCTGAAAATATCCCATCAATAACGCAAACTTAATTTGTCTAACCTTGACAATAGCCAATAGAATCTGATTTGTTTTTTGGGGTTTATAAAGTGGCAAACCATTTGCTTCATCGCAAACTTAACTATTTGTTTGTTTGTCTAATCTAAACTTGTGGATTGACAACATTAATGTCTGTCATAATTTCATCTGAACTCTCTTCTTTATATTTTTCAACTTCAATCGAAGAATCTTCGTTCTCACCACTACTACTAACAGACATTCTCAAATTTAATCGATTAGGGGATATAGGAAGCCATGGAAAAACCAAGTCACTGGTATTTGCTTACATCCTTAAGTCGACACTACAACAAAAATCATTTTTTGTGACCATTTTTTTCGTCATTAAATTAAAAAAAATCATCGCCAATTATTTTTTGCGACGAATTTTTTCGTCAGGTGTTCGTCGCAATAGTCTCATCGCATAAAGCATTTTGCGACGCAACTTTATTTTTATCGAAAAAAATATTATTTGCAACGAAAAAAAAACGACGCTAAAATTAAAAAAAACGTAGCTAAAATCTAATTGACCAATTTAAAAAATAATAAATAATAATTTAATTAATTTTTAGCGACGTAAAAAAATGGTCACAAATAACTTTTTAATAAATAAAAATGTAAAAAAAATAATTTTTTGCAACGTAAAAATGTCGTCGCGAATAATTTTTTACATAATAAAAAATGTGGAAAAATAATTTAATTAATTTTTAGCGACGTAAAAATATTATCGCGAATAATTTTTTCATAAATAAAAATATAAAAAATAATAATTTAATTAATTTTTTGCGATGTAAAAAAATCGTCACAAATAAATTTTTTACAATAAAAAAATAATAAAAAATAATTGAAATAATTTTTTGCGACGTAAAAAATTCTTCGCAAATAGATTTTTACATAAATATAAAATGTAAAAAATCGCGACTTGGCAACAACCTAAAATCATCATCCATTTTTTCTTGTTTTGAATCCAAATACAAACAACATACCCACTCATAATTTGAGTTAGACACTGCATCAAGCAGTCGTAGTGCAACTCTCTTTACCCATATATCCAGTTCATCACTCTCACTCAACATTTCTCGGGCGAGTTTAGACAAGTCTAGCGTGCCAAACCTCCGGTGCTTGAATACAAGAAATGATAGGATTCGTGCTTGAACTGCATTTGTCAGTGTCCAAATCCACATTACCCTGAACATTAACATTAGATAAATGCACTTTGTTAAAAAAAAATTAATTAAACAACTATGCGAATATGTAAATTTCTTCTGAAACTAAGATTCCCATAAATTTTCTAAGATTACCTCTTTGTGTGAGGAGGTTGGGAAGGTGAAGGAGACGAAGAGTTGACAACAATAGCGTCAATAGATTTTTTGAGCAATGAAACAAAGGAGTTTGTGGAGATGGCTGTGGTGATGGTTGATGAGGGGTTGAAACATTGTTGTAACCCAAGACTCCATTTTTTTACTTTTCACTCTTCTCCGTCGTAGAAGCTGAGATTTTTCTCTTTTGACAAATCGCAGAGCAGAAAATTTCGATGGGCAAATGGCACTTTGTCCCTTAAAAGATTAAAAAAATTTCAATTTACACCACAAAAGATCAATTGTTCCAAATTCCACCCTCAATGTTATTATTTGGTGACAATCTGGCCCCAGACCTGATGGATGTCCAAACACAATAAACCCACCATCCTTATAACCCAAAAACCCTTGTTGTTGTTCGACCAGAAGGGTTTTGTCAAAGAGGGGAGCCAATTCTTCCTCCAAAAAGGTCTTCATTGCTGTTAAAGAATGCGGCTTAACGCCTGAAGATTGGAAAAATTTCTTGGGTGGTAAGGGAAGAGAACAACAGTTTTGATTTTGGACAAGAAACACCGGATTATCGTACGGGATTATTGTGCAATTTGAGTGTGTGAATGACAGTCTTTCGTGTTGCATGTATTCGATGAAATATGAAAAATATTGAATAATGTTTTAGTCAAAAAGTAGTTTTGTTTATGCTGAAACCTATTTTTTATTCAACTGAGTGTATGTGAAAGTGCTTTGTTTATACAAATGCTTATTTTTTTATTGGACAAATGGGTTTGTGTTTTGTATTATACTGTTTTGTTTTGTTGTTTTCTGATTCATACCAGTGGATTTTGTTGTGTAAATGATGTGGGGTACTTAACAATTGATTTGTTTTCTTTGTGGGGTCACACTTTTTCCTTATTTAAATATGGCTCTTGTCTTTTTGTTTGGATTTGACGGCGGACGATGGTGATTTATTTTTTTTTTACAATAAGAATGCATCATGGCGGCCAATTTCAATCTGGGAACGAAAGAGTGTGCGTTGGAGGGAGGGTGAATCACATCGATTTGTATCATATAGACTAGTTTTCTTTGGTTGAACTAGTGAATATGTTGAAAGATATAGGACTGGAGTACTGCCAAATTGTGAGGTTCCATCACAGAATTCCTATAAGGTTGAAGGTTTTAGACAAAGATCAGGATGTTTGGATATGGGCTGATGGGTTAACATGCACAAAGTCCTTGACGTATATGTTGAACACATTAGAGAAGTCTTTGATCAGAGCCAAGCTGAGTCAAATTGTGGTCCAATAGCACAACAATGTGATGGAGGAAATGATATGGGTGATAGTATAAATATGGCTGATGTAAATGCTAGTGTTGTGGCTTTTGATAATTCATCAGACAGTGACTCATCTCAGTATAATGAACAATCAGAAAGTTTAGCTTCAGATGATGAGTATTTCTATGATAGTGAATATGATGGGGATGAAGTGCAGATGCATGATATAGTGTTAAATGAAGATGTGAGACTGAGGAATGAAATAGAAAAAGAGAATGGTACTAAAAAAAATAAAGGGAAAGGGGTTTATAGAGGTAGGAGTTATACAATAATGGGTGGGAATGGTAGAGCTATGTTGAAGATTGTGATTCAAATGAGCTAAGAAGTATTCCTAGTTCATCATCAGATGAAGATGAACTTCGGGTGAAATACCCAGTGATTAATGCCAAGATTGACATGGGTGATCCACAATTCAAGTTAGGTATATTATTTAAGATTCAAGTGAATCTAGATCTGTAGTTAGACAACATTCTATCAAATGGGATAAGTAGCTAAAATTTGTCAAAAATGAGAAGTACAGAGTAAAGGTTGTGTGTAAACCAGGGTGTGATTAGATGATTTATGCTTCATGTATACAAGGAAAGATGACAATGCAGATTAAAACATACATTAAAGATTGTGCGTGCAGGATCTTGCACAATATAAAAAACGAGAACAGATCTCTCCCTTGGTGAACTCGAGTGAGTCAGTTGAGTGGTCAACNTACAATAAGAATGCATCATGGCGGCCAATTTCAATCTGGGAACGAAAGAGTGTGCGTTGGAGGGAGGGTGAATCACATCGATTTGTATCATATAGACTAGTNGTCAATCACGCTGCTTGGGACAGCCTGTGAGGTCCGGGGGTAACCTAGAACGGCAATGGGAGACCCTCGTGGATTGAAGGAACGATCCAGTAAGGCTGGAGAAAGGTTCCTAGAACAAAGAAGAACAAGTTAGAAGGGCGCCGGAGTGTTTTCCGGCATATCCCCTCCGACGATCAAGTCAGTCTTTGAGAGAGAGAGGAATAAGAAAACATTGAGTGTGTATTGTAGCAAATGTTTTTTGTTGCATACCGTCTTGCCTTTTACGAGGAGTATTTATACCTCAAAAGCTCATGATTGCTGTCAGTGTTGTCAGTAGGTGATCATTAGGTACAGGCAGTGTGCGCACTGATTCTGATGAGGAATGTCTTCGCTTCTTTAACTGCTCGGAGTCCCGAGCAATCAATGCTGTGTCATCGGGCTACCGACTGTCCAATGAGCTCCACTCGGGGAGGATGCAATAAATGCCCAGCCTTAGAGACATTTATTGTTTTTCAATTTCGAGCCTTACCGCATTGAATGCGGTCTCATCAAGGGAATGATGTAATTAAATGTTTGCTTTCCCAAGTCGCGTGTCAGCAAGAGCATGCGGTCTTTCTGTCTCTGATGTGACACAATTTGCCACGCGTCCATCCCTCATTGGCTGTGGACCCTGCCTTCCTGTGCCTTCTGACACCAATTGTGTAAGACGAGACCATGATAGCTAACCTAGACTAGCCTAGGCTAATGACCTGCGCATCAATAGCTTATACTGGAGCAGAGAAAAGGCATCCTGGACGGGGGTACATCTCGGTACCGAGAAGAGGTACATCTCGAGCCGAGGGGGAGCTGACATGGCGACCGAGGTACCATATCAGACCGAGAGATACGTGTTGGTTCGTAAAACGTACTTGACCATATGTCAAGTACCTCGGGGGCGAGGGAGTTGTAAGTCGATGGTACGTGATCTCAGTAACAGGATTTTTAGTGACGTCGATGACACGTGTCTTCATCTTGGAGTATTTCAGAAAAGTCCCATCAACTGCCCCCCAGCCTTCGATCTTCTGACACCGAGAACACGCGTCGTAAGGAGACGAAGGGTTTTCCAACAACCCCAATTGCTTCATCATTGCCTCTAGCCGCTTTCCCCTGCTTAGGGCGTCGTGCACATTAAATGCGTCCTTTCGTGTTTCGCACCCAATGATGAGACCGGTACTATATAAATGGGCTTCCTATCCCTTTTTCTCATTTCGTCATTCTGAACTTTTCTTCCAGAGAATCCTTGCCTGAATATTCGCCGGACACCTCTTCCCTTCTGTTTGTTAACTGCCCAACCTTTTCACTGAAGCTTTAAAGCTAGCAGGCCCATCCTTTGTTTCTGAACATTCTTGGAAGGAATCGATTCAAGTTTTTCAGAAAATACCTCTTTTTACGCTCTGGTGAGTTCTAGTATCCTCCATTTCTTTGCCCTTCTGTCTCTTTTGGTTTTCTGATTACCGGAGGTGTTTTCTATTTGCGATCCAGTGATCAACCCCCGGGAAGCCTTCTTGGGGATCTTCGTAGAAAAACTCCCTCTATTTTTATCACTTCTTGAACATGCCTCGTCGTCGTCCTGCCCCCGAGACTCCTCAGGTTAGTACTTCGAGGCCAGGGAAGTATAAAGTAAAAGGTAGTGAACAAATTAATAGATTTAGGGTTAGGTACGGCGTTCCACCGAATGTAGACGTAGAGGATTATGATGCGACTGTGCACCCTCGTACCCTCGGTACTGAGGATGCAATGCCTTTTTATATTAAAATCATTATAGAAGGCGGAATTAGGTTCCCTTTGCCCCCTCTGCTTCTCCAGTTCCTCTCTCATTTCCACCTCTTTCCCGGGCAGTGTTGCCTTAATGTCTTTAGGATAATTATGGGGGTACTAGAGCTCAATAGGCGTCTTGGGGTAAACGTCGGGGTGAACGATATCCTTTTTTGTTATTCCCTTTTGAGAGTTACGCCTCAACAACACTTCTACCTCAAAGCCAGGGACCCATCTATGTACCTCGTAACTCACCTTCCTGACTCGGACAAGGGGTACAAGGATGACCTACTCATCTTCAGGGGATCTTGGCAGAGAGGTGTCGGTCCCGAGTATGACGGCTTGTTATGTCCATTGAAATGGAAAATGACAAGTACGTCGGTTCCTTCGGGCCTTATTATTTTGTTTCTGAAATTTTCTACATACTCATGACCCTCTCCCCTCTTTTTGCTTGTGCAGACATCTCCCCTCGGGAAATAGCACCTCCACCCCGATCGTCGATGAACTTTGCTGACTTAATCACCGTTTGGAATTTTACTGGCGACGACGGGCTCGGCCGGCTGCCCACATCCTCCTGAATTACACCCCCGGGTATAAAAAGTTTTCGCAGCTTCCCCAGCCTTTCGAGCCTTTTCGGTGGTCTGAACTCTTTGATCAGGCGACGGGATAAGAAGTTGAGGAGAACTTGGAAGAAGACCCTGATCGGGCCTCGGAGGCTGAAGTTGAGGGTGAAGTTGAAGAGCTCGGGGTCGGAGAGGACTTGGTTCCTTCGCACGCCGAGGTGGGGACTTCGGGGAGAGATTCTTGGCCGGACTTCCAAATCCTACAATCTCTCGACGTCGAGGACGCCCTTGAGGTAGCTATGTCCAGCACGCCCCGTATTGATCTAGGGTTCCTTAGGCAGAGGCAAGCCCTCGCTGCTGGGAGGGGACGAGGATCGACCGGTGGGACCCCATCTGCAGGGGCCAGCGCCACCCCATCCTCAAGAGTCGTTAGTCAGGGGCCAGTGCGTGACCGGGACCCTCAAGTAGAGGAGGAGAGAAGGGTCAAACATAGGCATGATGGCCTTGGCAGGGGATCCAGGGCACCTTCCGCTCAGCAGCAAAGTGGGAGAGGCCGTGGGTTACCTCCTACTCCTCAGCAACAGCAGCAACAACAGCAACAGCGGCAACAACAGACTCCTCCTCCCCTTCCGCAGGCAGTGGAAGTTGCGGAGTGGAATCCTCGAGCCACTGATCACATGGACCGAGTGATCAGGGTCGACAATTCTATTTTGTAGGACCCTCATGTCGTCAATGCAGTGAGTGAGACGCTGCATTTTGAGGCCGACATGGCGGCTCACAGAGGGCGATCAACGAACGTGTTGTTTCGCTCTATCATCCAAAATTCCTTGATGGTAAGTTCATTTTTGCTTCAGTCTCTTTTAGCCCCAATTTTCCTTTTAGTGACATACTCTTTCATTTGCAGGCCACCCAACAGATTTTCATAATAGCGGCGCGGTACCATGGGACTAGGATGGACCTTCAGCGGGTTCGAGAGCAGAAGGAAGAAGCCGAGGGAGCCCTTGCCAGTGCTAAGGAGGACATCGCTGCAAGGGATTCCACCCTCGCGGGGCAGGCTGCTCAAATCGAGCAACTCCTCAAGGAGGCCGAGTTGGCGAAGGTCGGCGTTGAAGAGCTAAGTGCTGCCCTTGCTGACGCTGAAAGGAGGATAACAGAACAGGCGCAGCGGCTCTCTGCGGCAGAGGAGAGGGCTGTTGGTTCAGAGGAAAGCTGCCTGGCTCTGACCCAGGAGCTGGACAGGATCAGGGATGAGGCACTGAATAGGAAGTCCGAGGAGCAACTCCGAGAAGAGTTCGCCGATGACGTGCTCCCTGCTCTTGAGGAAAACAGTAANAGTCCGAGGAGCAACTCCGAAAAGAGTTCGCCGATGACGTGTTCCCCGCTCTTGAGGAAAATAGCAACGAGTTCTTCAAGAAGGGGTGGGACGAGGCGCTCCAGTCTGCTGGGATCCCGTCAGACTCCTCGCTTTTCCAGATGCACAAGTACGTGCCCTCGGCGGAGATGGTACAGGCCGAAGCCGAGATTGTTGCCGAGGGCGCCAATTTAACATCGGTGCAAGTTTTGGTTGATCCGCCCGAGCCGACAATCGTGGATTTGTCCGACGAGACCCTGCCGGATCGGCCCCTTGAACAAAATATTCCTCAGACTCTCCCCGTTGCCGCAGTGCCTCCCATTCCGCCTATTTTCGAAGATGCTCAACCTCTTTACGCTGATTCTCCCTTGGGCGATGCTATGGAGATGCCCGGGGCCCGATGAAAGCCCCTTTTTCTTTTTGATCTGTACTTTTTTCCTTGTAGCTTTTGGGGACGCAAAGCTCTTCTTTTTGAATTGGATCTTTTCTTTTGGAGTACTTAATTCTTTCTTGCGTATACTTTCGTAGGAATCCTTGAACTGTCCTAGGAGGCTTGCTCCTGTGTTTGTTTCGGGGCCGAGAGTCTTTGTACTCTGTCCCTAGGGCCTTGCCCTTCCAGGAGGCTTGCTCCTGTGTTTGTTTCGGGGGCGAGAGTCTTTGTACTCTGTTCCCAGGGCCTTGCCCTTTATCTGTATCGTTGGCAAGCACTGAGGGAGATAAATACTCAAAAATAATATTTCTTTAGATTCATCACATTCCACGGTCGCGTTACAAGTTTTCCCTCCATATCTTCTAATCTGTATGACCCGGCGCCTCCGATAGATATCACT